AAAGAGGGGGTCCCTCTGTCCCCACCCCTTTGGCTCCCGTCTGTGACACAATCCCGGACGCCCAAAGGAGCCTACCCCAGCCTCCCGCGCCTCGCGGGTCTAACACTGCGGGGCAGCCCAGCCAAGCCCACACCGACGCCCCCACAGCCCACGCCCGCCCACGGTTTGCACGCCCCTGTGGGCACCCACGTGGGTCCACATTTGTTGCGGTTGGTGACTCACTTCTTTGCTGAGCTCCTCACTCGGGAAATCCTTATTCCTCACCTGTCACTACCTGCCTCGCCCCACTTTCAGGGCTGGAGCGGGAGTGGGAGCCCGGGTCTCCCATGATTAAGGCAGCTCAGGCCTCCCCTCAGTCAGGCCAAAGATAGCTGGGCTAGGAGAGGGGCACACAGGCCTGGCAACCCCTGCCCCCAAGCCCTAAGAACAAGTAGACATGGTTGTCGTTTGGGGTGCTCTTACCATGTCTCAAGTGTTTCGCCTGGACGATTTCATGAGATAAGTACTTTTATTATTCCTCTTTTAGTGGATAAGAAAGCTGAGGCCCAGGAAGACGTGCCCTCAGCTCCAGCCTCCTCCTGCCCCACCCAAGGTGTGTGAGGAGAAGAGCAAAGAAAGTCCAGGAGTGGCCTTGGGAAGCAAATCTGACCTTCAGAGTCTAGCCATTAAGCTAGACTCACATTGGCTCACAGTTTACTGGCTGTGTGGTCTGGGAGAAGTGACATAAGCTCTTGGATCCCCAAGTTCCTCATCCATAAGATGGCCTGTCCTCCTTCAGAGAGGTATTGAGGAGCCAGGAAGTGGGGGGCGTGAGATGCCCAGGCATACGTGTGTGCTACATCACAGGCTCCATCCTTGGACACCATTCCCTTCCTCCTCTAACCACAGCTCCATAACCTATCCCACCCCCTGTCAGATCCCCCAGCGGATGACCCACCATCCTGAGGATGCCACATTCCAGGGTAATGCTCCCTTGTGGCCAGGACTAAGGTAAGGGTGCACTAGCGTGTGCACACACACACACACGTACACAAACATGCAAACATAATGTGCACTAGCGTGTGCACACACACACACACACGTACACAAACATGCAAACATACATGCATGAACATATATGCACACATATACACAAGCACACACTACTCACTGTCCAGCAGATTCTGGATTACATGACTGTCTGTCTCTACACCGAGCTCCTGGATGGCAAAATTCCATCTCTGATCTGCCTCTGGTCCCCAACACAACACCTAGTACACCATCATTCATTCATTTATATCTGCTATGCATCATACAACAGTAAATGTTCTTGTTGAATCAAGCAGAAAAGCCCAGGGCAGAGATGTTCCCAGGAGAGCCAGCAATTACAGCCCTTCTGCCTCCAACAGACAGCCTTGGTTTTCGGCTGGTGTACTTCAGAATTAGAGGGCTGGGGGCTTGGAGGTGTCTCAGGGACAAGCCACAGACTGCATCCACACCACGGTGTCCAGCCTCATCAGCCCAGCCCTAGCCCCTGAGGTTCTGCCAAGCACTGCTCAGAGAAATAAGCCCTGAGTCCCAGGCTGCCTACTGGCCACGGGGCGGGGCATGCCCACAACAAAAAGAAAGCCTTCTGGACCAGATTTGCCCCACCCTGGGGCTGGGAGGAGGAGGGGCTGAATATTCAGGGAGAGAAGAAGGAAGGGACACAGAGCAACTCTAGACATACCCAAGAGAAGGCATTCTCTCCAGCCCCAGGCAGAAGGAAAGAAGCAGTTAGAACAACTGTCTCCACCCAAACTGCTACAGAAGCTCTCTGAGAGGACTAGAAGCTCAGAGCAGAAGCCCAAAGTTTCCTGACAAAGGATCGATGGTCCCAGAACAGAACCTACACCCACTCAGCCAGCACCCTAACCAGCACAACCACCACTCACATCCCACAAGCACAGGCACCCAAGATACCATCTTATTGTTGAAAAATGCCAGGGCTCCATGTACAAACATGTGCTTGTGTGTGCACACATGTGCAACATATATGCTTATGTTGCTCATGTGTGAACTCATGCTTGCAGAGATGTGAATAAGTGTGTGCATGTTTTTGCAAGTGTCCAATATGTGTGAGTGTGAATATACAAGTGAGCATGTGTGTGTATGTGAGTATGTGCAGCACACATACTAACCAACCTACCACAGTCCAAAACCAGGCAACCTGCTGCTGCAAAGAACAGTGAATAACCCCGTTACTCATACTTCCATAAGAATGGCCTGTGACGGTCCACAGCCCCCTCCGCTCAAGCAAGCAATGTGCTGGTGCTCTCGGGAGGGAACTCCCAAGTTCATTCCCTGCAAAGAAACATAAGCTGTGGGAATCTCCAAGTTCTTCATGGGAACGCTCAAGCCAAGAATTAATTCCTGACAGGCACAAATGACGCACCAGAAGGCAGAGGAGCTGGGTTCAAATCAGCAATGATGAAACTTGACAAGAGATGAGAAACAGGCCCTACCGCTCTTTTCTGCTCCTTGCTTACCATCCAGCCTGCCAGGCTGGAGGACGCTGGGCCCAAGGAATGGACAGTGTCAGGTCAAGGAACTGACCTGACCTTGTTCCCCATGGCCACATTATTGCCAAGAATTGGGCGCATGTAGGCCCTCCAGGATGGGTAGTCTTCCCCCTAAGCCAGCCAGTCTCTGAGCCTCACGTATCCATGTCTGCTACCTGAGTCCCAACACAAACCTGTCTCTGTCTGCCCTGGCTGCCTCAGGGTCCTGCTGTGGCTGTCGGCCCTTCCAGACCCACTACCCCGTGTCTAGAACCCAGCACCCCTCATTTATTTGGGCCCCTTCTGTGTGCAGTTCAGGGTTTAATGACATAGGCTTTGAGCAGGGTAGAACTGGGTGGACCCTGGGTCTAGCCTCAGCAACTTTACTGCTATGTGACTCTTCCCCTAAAGTCACCACAATTCTCCAGGTATTGATTTTTTTTCATTTATAAAATAATGTGAAGAGCAGTTCCTGCCTCCCCAGAATGTCTGGAGGATTAAAGGGGTGCCTGGCACTCAGCCAGAGCTCACTTATGTAGCTATTGTTATTGTTAGTATTATTGCTACCTGAGCTTGCACTCTGACCCAGCTCTGAACCTACCAGGGCAGAGGGGTTCTTCGAGGCTGAGTTCAGGTTCCACCTCTTCCAGGCAGTCTACCCTGCTCACAGGATCTCTGCCTGCTCTGGACTCCTCTCCCCTCATCTCTGTGCAGGGCCCTGGGACCTGAGCACACTGCCTGGCACAGAAAACATGTTCAATAATTGCCATAATAATTAAAAGCAGGATTATTCATTTTATTGGTTGTACCTTCTTTTGGGTCTAGGTCCAAGGATCCCACCTCCCAAATTCACACACTAGGTTCAAACTTTTTGACTGAAACTCAAAGTAAGAGAAATGTTTTATATTGGATCACCAGCCACAGAGAAAACAAAAAATGCTTAGCCTTACTGTGTGCGATGCATTCCGATACTTTCTAACCTAACCTATCCTATTTCTTTCTGTTTTTGCTGATCATAGAGCTCAAAATTGATTTTACTTGTGACCTCCAATTTCATGCTGCACAGAACAATGAGGTCTCCGAGGGCAGGGGGACCACCCCTCCTGTCCCAAGCACCACTCAGTGCCTGACTCAAGAGCGCCCAGGACATGTGAGAGGAGAATGATTCTGTCTCCAGAACATTCCTCAAGTACTAAAGAGAGAGCACTCCAATAGAAAAAAAAGATAAAAGGGAGAAGGAATCCTGGCTCATTCATTCAACAAATAGTTCATTCATTCAGTCAGTTAGTCAGTCAACGAACATTAACCAAGCCCTGTTCTAGGCCCTGAACAGTGAGTGAGGCAGACAAGGTCTTGCCTTCTTGGGCTGATATTTTAGTACAATGGAGGTGAGGGATACAAAAAAAAACAAGTAAAAGCAGAAGCAAGATCATTCTGAGTAATTCGTGATATGAAGAAGGTAAAACAATAGAATGATATAGAATAGTGTACTGGTGGGGCTACTTTACAAATGAAGATCTCTGAGCCTCAGGTAACTCACCTCTAAAAGGGCAACAATGACACCTACCAGAGCAGGTGGCTGTGGGGCTTACATGCGGTGATGAGTTCAAAGTATGCAGCTCCACCCTGGCACAGAGTGGTTTTTACTGTCGTTGTTATTAAATGGATAACTGTGATTTGAAGGCAGGCTGTGATAAGTTCCACAAAGCGTAAGATTGCACTGGAGTTCAGAGGAGGGTGAGGGACAACGCTGACTACAAAACAAGCTCAGGACCCATTCATGTATTAACTTGTCCCTGTGCACAGTTCTCCTGGCTTATTCCTCCCAGTTCTGCCCCAACTCCCTACTCCCACTTTACCCCACAATTTAGCCTAGTTAGTGAGTGAGCTGTCCTCTCTCTCTAAAAGCCCAGGCACTGAGGAATTAGCCTCCTTTTGGTGGGGTGTCCCAGACCAC